GAGAGATTATATGGCATATTACACATTTTGGGAAAGGAGATCTTGATGGGAAAATATGAAGATTGGAATACGAAGTGGTGCGCTTTTGCTGGTATAACAAAGACTTACATACCCAGGGGGGTATTGGACAGCCTCAAGACTGTCCATAATTTTAAAAGGGCACCCCATTCTATGCTGTGAAAAACTATTCTAATAGTTTTATGTAACGCAGCAACATCCACACATGTAGGACACCCAACATTAGAGGTGATTTATTCTTCCAAAGCAAATACACTTTTGCACACTGGTACTGAGTTTTTCTCATCTACCGCAGTTGCCTCCATCATGAGCTAATGTGACCCCAGCACTGATGAAGAGAAGCAGAGGAGGGTCAAACTAGGATGTTGTGAAGTCAGCTGACATCCTCCTTATCAACTGATGATATCATTGGTTGTCAGGACGCCGGTGGCTAGAAGGTCGTAATGGTACACAACAAAAATCTGTGACTTTGTGTAACTAAAAGGCAGGCTTGTTCCACCAACTGGCTTGTATACAAGTTTTAGGCTATTTTCAGCTGCCTGCACAACATCCTAGTTTGACCTAATTTTGCCAACGCACCCCTGAAGAAACCTCAAGGCATCCTGGTTGAGAAAGGCTGGTCTACAGTACCCCTCCTTTTCCAGATCACCAGTATTTAATCCTCAGATTATCATTAGAATAAGTAGTGAGTTTAGAACCCCTCGTCTTTGATGGCTTCTTGTAGCCTACAAGTATTGTTATGATTGCTCTCAATTAAAAGTAATAAAAAGTGTGAAGGGGTGGTTCTTCTATATGTAGGAGGAATGCCTCCTTACCCTGTTTTACTTTTGGGAATATATCCACACCATCATGGTTTTGGTGAGTAGGAGACAAAAACCTATTTGTAAATGTATTGTATTTTCTTGAATGCTACATTGACCATTGACCACGTGGTTGGTTTATCAGCAGTCAGTGTGAACACTACACTTCACTTCTTGTACTGATCTTATATTATAAAACTTTTGCATAAAACAAACTTTTCCAGTTGTCTCATTATTTCATTATAGGTTGTCATGAATAATTTAAATCCAGTCTGGAAAACCTTTAAAGTCTCAGTGAACTCCCTGTGCAGCGGTGATCATGATCGAAAGCTAAAGGTAGGACTATACATATTTTCTTCTGATTTTATTTTACTTTTAATGAAAATTGAACCTGTGCTTTGTCCATACAGGACACTTTAATTACCACTTCACCAACAGCACATACCATTCTTTTCTAACTCCTGCTACTTTATTTTAGCCTCTGGGAGTGAAAGGAATGCATTGTGTAAGCTACGGGTTGACTGAGTCATAGCTAACACAGGGCCATATCCTACTTATGTAACAGTGCTGACTAGTCCACATGTTTAGCAATTACATGTTCTTCATACCGGAAGTAACAAGTATTTACTTTAATTTCTGAAAGCTGAATGGATCAGTGGGATAACAAAGTAAAAGTAACTGCTGGACAAAATGTGGGGGTGAGGGGTTAAAGCAAGACTGTTACTTTTCCTAAATGGATGTATTATAATTATTATTATTATACAGTATTTATATAGCGCCAATGGGTTTGCTCAGCGCTGTACAATAGCGAGGGGGACAGAACATGAGACAATACAGTAACAATACAATACATGAGGGGTTCGAGGGCCCTGCTCTTTCGAGCTTACAATCTAGGAGGGAGGGGATAGTGGTACAGGAGGAAGTGGCTGTGGGGGATGGAGTGGTGGGAGGAGTGGAGGAGATTGGTTGTTAGGTGAGATGGGTGGGGTAGGCTTCCCTGTAGAGATGGGTTATCAGGGTGCGCCTGAAGGTGAGGAGGGTAGGTGACAGTCTGATGGATTGGGGTATGGAGTTCCAGAGGATGGGGGAAGTCCTGGAGAAGTCCTGCAGTTGGGCGTGGGAGGAGGAGACCAGGGAGCTAGAGAGTAGGAGGTCCTGTGAGGAGTGAAGGGCACGGGTGGTATTTGGGTATCAGGTCAGTTAGATAGTTTGGGGCGGCGTTGTGAATGGCTTTGTAGGTCAGAGTTAGTAATTTGAATTTGATGCGCTGGGCAATCGGGAGCCAGTAAAGGGATTGGCAGTGGGGGGTGGCAGATGTGGAGCGGTTGGTGAGGGGGGTGGCAGCGGTTGGTGAGGGGGGTGGCAGATGTATGATCGTTTCTTTGGCTGCTGGTCACCAAATTATCCAACATCTAGTGATTAGTGGAGTGGGGAGCTACTTAATTACCAATAGAAATCAAAAACGACCTGGTGGGCAGATGCCTCATTGGTCCAGTCCACTGCTGGTGGAGGCCTGGGTCAATAGCTCTATTTGCTCCCATCCTTTATTCCTGTACTGTGTAGGTAGCTCAATACAAAATATCTTGCTATTTCTTATATTTTTTTACATTTATTTAAGCTTAACGTACATTAAAAAGAAATAAAAAAATCTATAAGCCTACTTTGGATTCATACTTATTACATTATGAGTGTACTTTCGAAATGTCAAAAATCCAAATATAGAGATGTGATATTTGTAATGTTGAACAGCACTTCAGAGTCTGGTGGGGCGTTGTGGAAAGTGAAGAAAAGAAATCACAAGAAGGAAGTGCAGCTGTGCTGATTAGAGTGCGTTGACATATATATTTTCAATGTAATGTTTTCAAGCCATTAAAGCATTCCAGGCAGGTTTTTGAACTGCTAGATTTCCATTTGCTGCTGTTCTGCTATCATGCTTGCACCAGTACACCTTATACTAGTGGCTATTTTAAGAGCTTTCAGAAATGGCCTCTTCTGCTGATTATCTTGGACTAACTACGTACTCATTCAAGCTAACACTTTCAATTTGCTTATTTAGTCCTTAGTTTTTCAGATGACTGTCTCCTTAAATATGGCCACTGCAATATACATTGTTCAAGTGTAAGGTTTAGGGGAAAACACGCATGTTCAATCCTCTATACTACAAAAATGAGGATGACCAAGAATGAACAAAGCAGGTGATGTACCCAGTGCTGGATTTATAGCCCAACCCCCCATGCCAACTGCCTTGTTTTATCCCCTTCTACTCCACTGGATAGCCTTAGTATCACACCATTAGAAGAGTGGGGTAAACTGTCACTCTGCTAACAATTCCTAAAGTGAATGCACTGTAAGCACACAATACACTATTCAACGGTACAGGGACAGTAACCATAAGAAACCAGATGACTGCACTGGCAGGCAAGGCTTCTGTCTAGGATCTATTATACATAAGAATATGTTCCTCTCAGCAAAATTATTTTTGAATAACTGTACGCCACCCACTGCCGCCACACAGTGTCAAGGATCCGGGTATGACCAGAAATGTGTGGACTGACACAGGGAAGTAACAGGCTTCAGGAATGATATAATAACAATATACTTTATTATTAGCCACCCAAATATACAACGCACAGTAAACAAACCAACCTTCTACTAATCTTAGTATGTGCAGGAACACAGGCGTAGTCAGGGCTGGAGAGGTGGAATGGTCGGGCCGGCCGTATGGTTCTGTTAACGACAGTCTGGTGGTACTTCTAGCAGTCCTCAGGACAGGCTTCCCCAGGGCGCGGAGTCTAAGTCCCAGTCTGCTTATTCACCAGGGCCCCTGATGGTGGGGATGGACCAGGTCGCGGCCTCTTAGTACACCTGCTCGCGGTAGAGGGATCCGCCAGAGGTATATGCAGGTAGAAAGCCTGATGTGAAGAGGCAGAAGGTGTGAGCAGGGATGGCTGGATCCGTGCAGGATGGATGGGTGGCAGAGTAGTTAGTGTGGTCAGACGGGCCGGGTCGGTAACAGCGTGTCAGCGTGGTACTAGGCAGCAGGCAGAAGAGTAGTCAGGTCACTCGCCGGGGTCGGTAACAGGAGTTCAGATCAGATTAGGGATGTCCAGGAGAGTAGTCAAAGGAGCCAGGGATCAAGCAGAAGAAGTCAGCAGAGGTCAGGATCAGGCAGGGTTGGCAACAAATCAGATAGGCACAAGAACACAGGCTGCAACGTACAGGAGCTCATAGGAAACATACACCAAGGCACTGATCACAGGCTTGGTCCTGCTTAAATACACCTTCTACAGTCAACCTCAGGTGATGGCCTGATTGCAGGAGTGAGATTCTGGCTGCTGAAAGCCAGCCTTGGTACTGCAGCCCACAAGGCAGGTGAGTCCCACCACCATTGGCGAGTCCATTCCTGACACACAGCCTCTAGGCAGATGCACTTTTAGGTTTTTAGTATAAAAAGGGTATAGAAATGATATATCATATGGACAATGAAGTCAAATAGATTAAAGTACAAATATGAGATCTGCCCTAACTAGTCTGTTTTTAATTTGGCAATTCCTGGTTTGTAATCCTTATCCTTATTTCAGTAATTAGTGAGTCACTGACCTGGTTTCACTATGCAAGTCCAAAGTTCACTGGCTACTTATTGTACTGTGCATTTTTTTACCAAAGCTGCTAAACTCAACTCCATAAAAGTCCATGTGTCCATGTACACATAGGCTTTTACCAGAGTTTAGGAGATGCTGCGTTTAGGTGAGGTTAACCTTCGTCTCCTGAACACAGAAAAATCGCATTCAGGATAGGAAGGTTTTGACCGCCGACTGCAGGAAAATGCAAAATTTAGTAAAACCGCAGCAGAATCGTAGTACTGTGGTTGCCCCGGTTTGTATTTCCGGCAGCCGGTGTTCAGGGTACGCTCATGAACATGGAGCCTTACTCATGATATACAGTCGGTAAGTTAGGATTAAGACAAAAGCAACTTAGATGTTGCATCCTTAACCACCTCCCGCCCGTCATATAAGGAAATGACAGCCGCATAGCGGTTCTCTCATTCTGGGAGGACGTCCGGGGGGGCGCAGTGCGGTGATCGGTGGTGCACTGTGTCCCTCTGACACAGCGGATCACCGATCAACGGAAAGAGTCGAAGATGTCGGCTCAGTCATGTCATCAGCTGTGTCCAATCACAGCTGATCACATGTAAATAAGGAAATGCCGGTTATCAGCATTTCTCTCCTCTCGAGCTGTTACGCTGACAGCTCGAGAGGAGAGCAGAGCCGGTAATCGGCATTCCTCAGAGGGGGACATCTACACTGATCATCAGGGCACTGATGATCAGTGTGCCCTGATGATCAGTGTAGCCCCAGCAGTGCCACCTGGCAGTGTCCATCAATGCCAACTGTCAGTGCTTATCAATGCCACATGTTAGTGCCTACCAGTGTACATCAATGCCACATGTCAGTGCCCATCTGAGCTGCCATTCAGTGCCACCTATCAGTGCCAGTCAGTGCCACCTACCAATGCCAGTCAGTGCAACCTATCAGTGCTGCCAATCAGTGCCACCTATCAGTGCCAGTCAGGGCCACCTATCAATAACATTCAGTGCTGTATATCAGTGCCAGTCAGTGCCGCCTATCAGTGCCGCCTATCAGTGCTGCCTAACAATGCCAGTCAGTGCCACCTAACAGTGCCAGTCAGTGCCACCTATCGGTGCCAGTCAGTGCTGCCTATCAGTGCCGCCTAACAGTGCCAGTCAGTGCCACCTAACAGTGCCAGTCAGTGCCGCCTATCAGTGCCACCTATCAGTGCCACCTATCAGTGCCATATATGAATACTGCCTTTCAGTGCCCATCAGTGATGCCTGTCAATGCCCATCAGTGCCACCTACCAGTGCCTCCTCATCAGTGCCCATCAGTGCCACCTATCAGTGCCCATCAGTGCAGGCTATCAGTGCCCATCAATGCAGCCTCATTAGCGCACATCAGTGAAGGAGACAAATCACTCATTTACAAAGTTTTATAACAAAAACTAAGAAAAAAACTTTTTTTTTTTAATTTTTTTTTTGGTTTGTTTAGCAAAAAATAAAAAACCCAGAGGTGATTAAATACCTCCAAAATAAAGCTCTATCTGTCTCAAAAATATGATAAAAATGTCATGAGTACAGTGTTGCATGACCGCGCAATTGTCATTCAAAGTGTGACAGCGCTGAAAGCTGGAAATTGGCCTGGGCAGGAAGGAGGTATAAGTGCCCTGAAGGCAAGTGGTTAAAAATCTGTTTTATTCTGATAAGTTTCCTATCTTCAACTGTTTTCAATAATTATAAAATCATTATTAGCATTTATAAAAGTTAATTCCACATAAATTGCAGTCTGTTTTATGAGTTGCCATCGCCATATGTAAATATATTTCGCCTACAGTTCAAACAGCTTTGTAATTTTCTGCAAATATTGAATTCATTGATCAGTGTTGACCATGCATTTAATACTCTCTATGCAATTAAGTCTGTCACCTGGAAACAATAATTATCTCAAGTACTTTCTGTTCCCTGAAAGACATTATCCAGACCAGCAAGGTAATAATCATAAGCTACTAGATGCATGCATTATAAAATAATACATGTTCTACATACAGTCTGATTATTGCCTAGGGCAAAAACATATCTAATGATGTCTTGACAAAAAGTGTAAAACTGTCTGAAGTTCGATTGTAATGTCTTCAGTTTCTTATTAATATAATTATTGAAAAAATTAAAATTTCTAGCAGAACACATTGAAAATAAGAGTAGTGCTCAGCAGGGGCGGACTGACCATTTGAGCACTGGGGCCCGGGGTCAGTAGGGGGCCGCATGAAATGCCCCTGTTACCTTTTTATAGGTTTTTTGGGTGTGCTTTGAGTGTGGGCAAAAACACAGGGGCCCCATGATCCCCTATTGCCCGGGGGCCCCATGAGTTGTCAGTCCGCCCCTGGTGCCCAGCAGTTGTGGCATAGGTTTTGAGCTGCCCAGCCATAGCAGATTCACCCATTGCCTTAGCCTCACAGTCCCTCTTCAGGAGACAATGTTCACACTGTTCTATCACAGTGATGCTACTCCAGTGTGGCTAATATATAATCTACACCCCTAGCCAAGTGCCAGAATGTCTCCTATGTTACACAAACAGGCAATTTTTCTGTTTCTGACTCTTTGTATTTCTGTCCAGTTCCAGATATTTTATTGGATTAACTTGTGATTCAGATATATTGTGGAAGAGTTAGGACCTCATTGAACATTTTATTGCTGTGTCCCTTAATTTTTTCTTCTTTCCTGTTTATTTGACTGTTGTCAGACAGAACAGGAAGATGGGGCAATACTACCCAATGAGATACTCCTTCATCTGACTTTATTGTAAAGTCATGCAAGCCTTAAAGAAAATGGGGATATTTATGATATCCACAGACTACTCAGTGACACATAATAATCTCTAATACATTGACAAAGTGTCTGAAGTTCATTGGTCAAATATCTGAAGATCGACCCCTAGAGAGGACACGTCAGAATCGAGGCCCATTCGAAAAAGAGGGTACATTTTCCCAAAAAATGGCTTAGCTGTCCACGATTTCTGGCTCAAGATAAAAAGAGAGAGGTGGATGGCTGCGCTACCTCTCAATCTTGGCAGATGATGGAAGTAAATGGGTGGGTCGGTCCCCTGTGATGGACCCCACCCTGCCCTGTGTTTCTTTTTTCTAATGTGGGGCACGTAAGTGACTTTGTATCAGTGTGGGACATGTACAGTCATGGCCAAAAATATTGTCACCTCTGTATTTCTGTCAGATAATGCACAACTTCACCCAGAAAATTGTTGCAATTACAAATGTTTAGGCCTTCTCATGTTTATTTATTTTGTTTGTATTGGTATGAAACAAAAAAGTGGAGGGAAAAAAAAGCCAAATCTGACACGTTCCTCCAATAAATCCAAAGATGAACTGGACTAAATATTGGCTCCCTCAATTTAATATTTGATGGCACATCCATCAATCACTTCCTGTAACCATCAATGAGTTTCTTGAACCTCTCTACTGGAATTTTGGACCACTGTTCTTTCGCTAACTGCCTCCCAGATTGTAAGGGTTCCTTTTCCCAACTGTTGTTTTGAGATCTCTCCAACAACCCATTGCTGGCCAGTTGAGTACTCTTCGGCACTTTGTCTGACTGAAATCATTCCTGGGTGTTTTTTGATGTGTGCTTTGGGACAATGTCCTGTAGTAAGACCCATGACCTCTGATGGAGACCCAACTTTCTGACACTGGGCCCTACATTGCACCCCAGAATTCTTTGGTAGTCTTCAGATTTCATAATCCCATGCACACAGTCAAAACACCCAGTGCCTGAAGCAGCAAAACAACCCCAAAAGATCAGTGAATCTCCACCATGTTTGACTGTAGGGACTGTATTCTTTTCTTTAAAGGCCTCATTGCTTTTTCTAAAAACAGTAGAATGATGGGCATTAGCAAAAAGCTGTAATTTTGTTTCGTCTGTCCACAGCACATTCTCCCAAAAGGATTTTGGCTTCCTCAGGTACGTTTTGGCAAACTCCAATCTGGCTTTTTTATGTGTCTGTGTCAGCAGTGGGGGTCCTGGGTCTACTACCATACTGTCCCTTTTCATTCAGATGTTGAAGTATAACGCGAGCTGACACAGTACCCGGTGCCTGAAGGTCAGCTTGAATTTATCTGGAAGCTGATCGAGGTTCTTTAGCCACCATTTGAACAATCCTTCATTGCAATATTTGGTCCATTTTTGCTTTCTTTCACCCACGTCCAGGGAGATTAGCTACAGTGCCATGAACTGTAAACTTCTTGATAATGTTGGTGTCACGATCAGGGGTCAGGCTCAAAGACCAGTTGCTATAGCAGTGGAAAGGCTTACCTGAAAATAGCAGGATAGGTACACAGGCAGGTACCGTGGCAAAGGAGTGGGATCACCCGGTGTTCACCAGAGCTCCTAATGATGGAGATGGATTTGGCTGCGTGTTAGCACCAGGGTCCTCAGGATCACCCCACCAGGAGGTGAGCAAGCAGAGGTCCAGTAGCGTATAAACAGGTAAGGATCAAACGGAAGCGTGGTCAGTAAACAAGCCAAGGTCAGTAAGGAGCAGTCGAAGGTTGGGATCAGACAGAAGCGTAGTTGAGAACAAGCCAAGGGTCAATAACGAGTGATAGCAAATACGGATAACAGAAGAGACGATAAGGAGCACGATACTGGCTGGAGAGCACAATAATCTGGCAAAAAGGAAGTGCAGAAACATGGCTTATATCAGGAAGTTCATGGGAGGAGCAAGGGATTCAAGGTTCATGATAAACAAGGTCAAGGTAGGATCATCCAAATAATTGCCAAGTGAGCTGTCCAGCATTCCAGGTGGCTCAGCAAGAAGAAACATTGCCACTCACCGCAGAAGGCCCAGGTTGACAGTTGGGCTCAGTGGACACAGGAACATTAAGATCCCTGGAGATGGACTTGTAACCTTGAGATTATCCATACTTTTCCACAATTTTTGTTCTCAAATCCTCGGACAATTATTCTCTGCTCTTTCTCTTCTCCATGCTTCATGTAGCACACAGAGACACACAATCAAGAGTCAATTTTTCAACATTTCAAGTGGTTGCCAGTCTGATTTCTATATTGTCAGCACCTGTTAATTGATACAGGTGAGTTTAATTACAAATTACAGGAGCATCACAAACTTGGAATGCAGCTATTTCTAACAAATTTGAGAAGGTGGCAATAATTTTGTCCAGTCCATTTTTGGAGTTTTGCGTGGAATGTGTCAGATTTAGTTTTTAGTTTCTCCCCCTTTTTCTGTTATACCAATTCAAACAAAAGAAATAAGCAATAAGCATGAGAATGCCTAAACATTTGTAATTGCAACAACTTTCTGGGTGAACAGAGTAATCTTAGAAAAGTGCCACACCCTTAATTATGTATAGCAGCAATTCCAAATCCACAAAAAATTGTTTGGCATCAAATAAAATAAACATAAGAATGCGCTAGTAATAAATAAAACAACCAATTAAAGTGTCCATAAATCAATATGTGAAAGTCCAAACACTATAAACATATAAAATAATCATCATGTGAAAAAAACAACACCGTGATCAATCCACCACCGAATAAATTGGATGAACTCACCAGAGCTATATGCTCATCAAATTATAGACCAGCATAAGCGCTCTTGCTCTGGGAGCGATGAATGTAGCAAATTCCAGACTCTTTGGTGCAATGCTCTGCAGTAGTAACTTTCAGATAACAAGAAGCACCCCTCTGTAGTATAGGCAGATTCCAGACTTTCAGGAGGAATACTCTGCAGCCACTCTTTCATGAATGAGTAATCACCATATCTCCATAATCATTGGGACCATATTCAGGGACAAAGAAGAAGCATAATGGTGGAGCATGTCTTAAAACAATATACGTTTATTAAAAGATCAAAACACTCACAAATAAGGTGTCTAGACCGACACCAGCATCAATCGCATAGGCACTGAAAAGCTCCGCTCACCGCGGATCACCTCCGACAATCACAGGGCGTACTGACGTTAGCATCCAACTGGC